GACCCCCATACAACTTTTCTATCTACAGCATCTCCCCAGATTTCAGGAGATTCCTCCTGCCCAGCAGAATTCTCTCCCACTGGGGAAAGAGAAGTCATGCTACACACACAACTGCTCTTCCAAGCAGACTGTTAAAGGCAGAAATGAGTCAGGCTACTCTCAGGCATATGGATTTGAATGTGAAAGGAACAGGATATGATCAGAAAAACCATCAGGAAACCAGTGTGTCCCACCCCTGCTTGGTGCATGCAGAAAGACTGTGCTCAGTAACCACACTCATGGTCCCCACCTGCAAATGCCAAGGAAACATGAGAAAGGTCTGATTTGAAATGAATGGAGGTGGTAGGATGCAAAAGGAGGTATTAGAGTGAGTTACAGCCATGCGTAAACCATGTTGCCCTGGGGCAGCACCTGCATGGAAAACTCAGGTTTCTGCCCCCACCTTACCTAGGGCCCCTTGGCAGATGTCCGTGCGAGTGGCTCCGCCAGCTATGAACTGGGGGTTGGGAAACAGCTCCTGGGAACAAAACAGGCCTTGCATTACACGTAGCCACAGGTGAGGCAGGGAACAAGGCCACACTTGCAGCAAATTAACCAAACCATTGACCACGGGAGATGAACACCACAGAGATGGAGCAGGGCAGGAGCGGGTGCGGGCACCACACACACCAAGCACAGTGAGAACGGGAGCTGGTGACCAAAGCTCGTGTGCGGCCAGCTCACTTCACAGGACGTGCCAGGAGGTGCACTGCATTTCCACACATGTGCACACGCTGCTCTGCCATTACCTCCCCACCACTGACTACACCAAGGTCCTTCAGAAGTGCCTGGAGGCACCCTGGAGTCCTCCTGATCCCATGGCTCCCATGGCTGGCAGGGCTGCTTCGGGAATAAACCACACGGTGGTCAACTCACGGCTCTGCTGAAGGAAAGAGTTATCAGAAAAGACAGCCCCAAGCGCTACCCAAAGCGGTTTGTCCACACGGAGAGTTCTGGATGGAGAGGAAAATGACTTTTCTGACTTGTTTTCCAGGCAGAGCAAGTCACGCTGCCAGCCTGTCCCCAGAGCAAAGGGGATCCTCCGGTGCCCCGAGCATCCGCAGCTGCACCAGACGGGCGCGATGCTGCAGGACGGGAGGGCTCGCACCGCGCTCGGCAGCCGCGCCCCGACCCGCCGCCCCCGCACCATCCAATCCACCCAAATTCACGGAGCGAGGGAAGGAGGAAGCCGGGTGATACTGCAGAACGATGCTACCGGGGACCCCCCCCATCCCCCGCCGCCCTACCGTGGGTCTGCGCCAGACGACGCCCTGTGTCTTGTGCGAGCGGGGCCCCAGCTCCCGGTAGCCGAGGGCGGTGGGGCCGGCGGGGAAGGAGGGGTCCTGGAAGAGCCGCCCCTCCTGCAGGCACTCCTGGCGCAGGGGCCCGAAGCGCTGCCCCAGGTAGGGCACAGCGCGGCCGTGCCGCCCCGCGCCCGCCGCCGCCGCCCGCTCCTTCGCCAGCGCCTCCGCCATCCCCGCCATCGCCGCCCCGCCCGGCCCGGCACAGAACGGCCCGGCCCGGCACGGCGCGTCCAGCCCCGCCCGTCAGCCCTCCGCTCCGCCCGGTGCCACGCCGCTGCTCAGCCCCGCCGCACCCCCGCCTTGGCTCGAGTGGCTCTGTGCCGGCAGCCGCGGTCCGAGCAGCTTCCCCTCCCGTGCCTCCAGCTCGCTGCCCCGTGCAGGAGCATCGCTGCCTCACTGGGCGCCTCAACAGCTTCACACCTGCTGGTGATCCTATTGCCACATGTACGCATCAATTCAAGAAAGCTGGTGTTTTCCGTGTAAAAGCCAGAACTATCCATATAAATTCTCTAAGTTTAGGGAAAAAAATAAAAACAAACAAAAAACCCCCCCCCCAAAAAAAAAAAACAAAACAACAACAAACAGACAAACAAAAAGGAAGGGAAAACATGTGTCTCGAATCCCACTATGGTATGTTTGTACCTGTGTTGTCACCTTGTTACAACTTTGAACATCGCAAGTAACAGAGATCACTTAGAGCCTGATTTGCTGGTGGTCACCACAGCACATGTTTTGCCACTGCTGGTGTGGACCCACCTGCACTCCCGGCACAGCCCAAACCACAAACAGTGAGGTTCCCCCCAAGCTTCCCCGAAACGCCCACCTGTGGTGTGGGGGGAGAGAGAGTCTCTGTTTTTGCAGTGAGTTGGCTGCCAAGAATGGCTGAAATGCTGCTGCTGGCACCCGCATAGAACAGCAACTCTCTGAGGGAGAATTCAAACCATTTGTTTCATATTTTAAGTCTGACTCAGGATGTGCTGGTGCCAGGCAGTGTTCCCTGGGCAGCACACAGAGGCCGGGAGCCCTTCATGCTGCACCCACCGCCCACAGTGGCACCTCTTTCTGCAGAGTTTTCCAAGTCCTGGATGCATGAAACAGTGCTTTGGAGCCATCCTATCTGACTAAAATGAACATTATTTCTTGAAGATGCTTAAACAACCTAAAATTACTGGCAGTACCATTTGCTGAGGTGTGGTGGGGAGTTTTCCTTCATTGCTGGTGCATGATTCTCCAAACCATTGTGTATCACTGTCCGTTTGCTTGCTAGTTTTGCACTTTCATCATTTATTATTCCTCTTCCTAAGCTCAGAACAGGTCCTACTTGCACAGTTCATGAGAAGCCATTGTCATTAAACAGGAAAAAGAGCTAAGCATTGCCCATTCCGTTCCCAGTGTAGCAGAGGAAGCCCCCAAAATCTATTTGAAGTTAGTCACTAATGGTCTGAGCAGCACATGTCTGTGTAGATCATGGCCACGCAAGAGGACAGCCCAGTTGTCCAAACCTGGAAGGCACAGTCCAGCTTCACTGTTCTTTGAAGATGCCTCCTGTCCCCTATGAGTCAGAAAGGCTCTCTTTATAAAGAGAATATTGGAATTTCTAGCAGTATATGGGAAATCAATCACACATGGAAAGCTGGAAGCAGAACCAGTAATGTTACATGCACTCAATTGAGGGTGTGCTTTTAGCCTAGCATAGGTCTCCAGCATGGCTGTGCTGAAGCTCGAGGAAGACACAGAGTGGCATTGGAGGATGGTTTTGCTCAGCTGTTTAGATTTGTTAAGCACTGCTGAGTTATCTCACAGGCAAGGCCATCTCCTGGACCAGGAGACAACAGCACCTCACCACCTGGAGTTTAACCGGCTGTGTTGCATCCTAATGTGAGGGATCTGGGAGCCATAGAGCTACTCAAAAAGTGTTTCTTTGGCTCCATGCAGTGCCCCGAGTCTGTACAGCTGCCACAGGTCAGACTTCTCTGGTTTTACGAGAGTCAGGGTTACAGGAAACCAGAGTCAGTTCAAAGCAATGGTTTCCACTCACAGTTTTGGTTTGTGAACACTTCTGCTCTAGCTATTTTCCAGCAGATGCAGAAGTTTGAGCTGGGTTGAAAATTTGACATATAATTGCTTTTCTTAGCTATCTCTACCACAGTGGAATCTGCTGGCGGCTGAGAGCCTCTGCTGGACAGCAATCAAGACCAAGTGTGTGCAAGACTCTTACCTGGCTGCTCTGCTCAGTCAGAGCTGCCAGAGTTTTCTTAGAGTATCTGTGGTGAAATGAGGGTTAAGACTGAGACAAACAGAAAATGACATGAACAGAAGGGAACAAAGCCAGAAAGAGACTGAACCAGCAATGATTCAATTAAGCAGGGGGAGAGGGACCTGGACAATGATGGAAAGATGTATATTTGCCAGCCAGGCTTGTTAGATGGTCCCAAACATATAAGGACCATGCTGTCCCATGTGGTTTAATGACAGGATAAGGATATACTGGTGTAATACAGAATTTCTCTTGTTATCTGGGAAGTTGGCTGTCCCAGCAGCCATCTGAATAGCCCCTGCCCACCAAGTCCTCTGCAGCCAGGTAAGTCACCTGCTTCTACTTCCAGCACAGCAGCAGATGTGGATGGGAGTCCACAGTTTGAGGGAAGGAAGTTCTTTTGAGCACTACACCAGCCAATTTCTTCATTTTCTACATACTCACACAATGCACCCATTTTTTTTTTTTAGAGGAAGAGGTGATTTCCACTTGACTGTGAGAGCAGTGTAATACTCTTAAGTAAAAATAGCAGTTCCATCAATAGTTACCCACTTTTGTCTCCCTCAAACCAGGCAATATCAGAAAGAAAAAGAAATCAGATTTCTTCTTAATCTCCCTGTACACCTGTAGCTCTTCAAAGAAGTCACCAACTCACATTTTGCAAGTGAGTGATTTCAGCTTTTGCTGCAGCAGCTCATTCTAGCTCCTGATAAGGAGCATCCAGCTGCCATTCACAGCATGGAGTTTCAGGCAGGATAGGCTTCTCTTTCACTGTGCCCACACTCAGCAATTGTGAGTAACCCAGAGCTGCTTTGCTTTGCATCATCCCTCCTCTCTCTTGCTCCTCTGTCCTTTCTCTGTACATGGATACTGGGGAACAAATGACTAACAGCTCAGGAAGGGAGGAAAGGACCCGTGCACCTTCTGGGCTCCTGTTCTCCTTCCCAGGAACTGCCCCCTCCTCATTAGGATGAGGGTGGTTTCCCAGGGGAAGAAGCTTGCAGTAGCAGTAGTAGTATTTCAAGAGGAAGGGAATTGCTTTCCTGTCTGAAGCTGGGATCTGGAGAGGTACTGAGCTTTCCCCAACATTACAAGCTGGCTCCAGCCCTGGCCAGTTCAGTGTGAGGTGTCAGAAAGACCTGGGTCATCCTGCAAAATCCAGCTATCCTTCCCAGCTTCCTTCCCAGTGCTGAACCATCATTCTGGATCAGCCCAACTCATGAATTACTCAGGCATTACTTCTGCAGGATGTCATCTTTCTCCTCCTCAGGCACCAACAATTTCATGGCTTTTATAAAACAACCAAGCAGTATCAGAGCTAATTTTAGATGTGTTTCCCAATAGGGAAACTGCCAGGCTTCTTGTGGCAACCCTTCCCTCCCCAAACACTCAGATTAAAAATTGCAACCTTTAAAACAATAATCTTAGAGACAAACATTTAGGAACTTTCATAGCTCCCAATGGTGTTCCTATTGATAGTCACTCCATTGTCACAGTAATAGGGTGGATAGGAACCCATACATATAGAATATGAGAAAACAAGCTCTCTGAATGAAAATGATTTGTTTTCATGCTGCAGGGCCTACAGTAAGTACAGTGAAGCAGGTTTAATCCTCATCAGCCAAGTGATGCAGTACAAGAGAGTCCTCTTATTTCTCTCTAATGCTCTATATCAGAAACATACCTGAAGCTGCTGGGTAATCAGCAGTTATTTTCTTCTAAAGATTTCCCCATTTAAAGAACAGTCCTGACTGCATGGAATTTTCAGTCTCTTCTTTGAAATTCAGGTGATGCATTTTTCTGGTTTAATTGGTTCTTCTTTATTCCCCTTCATCCTCTCGCTATCATCACGAAATGGGGAGAGGGAAAGGAAAGCAAGAAGAGCCAGGCAAAAATATGCAAATCCCAGAGGCAACAAAAGTGAGAATAATTGTTATAACTATTAACCCTAAGGGTTAATGCCACTTCAGCAGCAGTATTTGAGTCATGGGGAACCTTAAATTTTTTTTCCTCCTATAATACAGCTGTCAGCTATTGCTGTAGTCAGCTATAGTCTTCATCATCTCCTTTATAACCTCTAGATGGTGCTTGTGTATCACATTCTACACAAAATAAAACATGCTGCTGCTAATCAAGCTTAGAAAATGGATTTGAAGTGCTGTGACAAATCACTGGAATCAAATAGTTGTGGTGGGCACACTAGGTGGTCACCAGGTCCAAACCTCCCCCAGAAAAAGGGGTTGTCCTCAGCCTCTTTCCAAACATAAAAACTGAAATTCATTATTAAAATCTGATAGTATTATAGAATGGTTTGTGTTGGAAGAGACCCTAAATATCATCTTGTTCCAGCTCCCCTATCATGGGCAGGGGCACCTTTCACTAGAACAGAGTGCCCAAAGGCTCATCCAACATGGCCTTGAACACTTCAGGGATGAGACACCCACAGCTTCTCTGGGAAACCGGTTCCAGAGCGTCACCATCCTTACAGTGAAGAATTCCTACTTAATGTTTAATCTGAACCTCCCCTCTGTCAATCTGAAGATACATTCCTGTTTGTCTTATCACTACAAACCCTGTAAAAATTCCATCTCCAGCTTTCTGGTTGCCGCCTTTAGGACCTGGAAGGCGCTCTAAGGTCTTCCTGGAGCCTGTTCTTCTCCAGACTAAAAAAAACCCTGTTCTCTCAGGCTGTCTCCAGAGGGGGGGTGATCCTACCTTTCATCTGTCTTTCCCTGTTACACTCTGGTGATGCACAAGGGTTCACCCTGCTGAAGCCTGCTCACCTCTACCTTTCAGGAAAGGAAACAAAATCTTGTGATTTCAATGGGGATCAGTTTGGCAGCTTTGGTCCATGGCCCTGCACTTCATGGCATCCCATGCCTTTGGATGGATTTCACTTTGGTGAAGATTTTTTTTTTTTTTT